ACGCCACAACACGAAATTTCACTCGAAAGCGCAATAGCACATTGTATTTCGTTTTACCTGACTGTCAAATGCCTAAAAAGAGCAGTCATAGATAGTGGAGCCAATGAAAAGGAGCAAAAACCAATGTTGACCAATGATATAGATCCAATTACCAGGATGTGGCCAATAGAATACCAGTATTCTTGTGAATTTTCGGCATTTGGGTGGGAGAGTTCGAATCGTGTTCGTGCAACTTTTGACATAATCCGGATTCAAAAACCTAGATTTGCATAATCCGGATTCTGGAGTGTCCGAACACGGCCTAATATGGCTGCCCGCCCAACCCAGTCAAGTACGAGCTAGCATTTCACCTGAAATACAGCTACTTAGGGGCTGGTCTGCGAACATTCCCGTCCACGCTTTTTGAAGTATCCACGCATATACGACTCCTGATTGGCTAAAACGTGAATTCTTCCGGATAACAGAACGTCAAAAGCAGGGACGCCTGAGTTGAAGCAGGGATGATTCATCCCTGCTTTTGAGTGACCGTTCCTGCTTTTGCACGTTTTCGATAGAAATTAAGATATATTTTTGATATATTTTCAGAATCCTCGAAAATAGTTCGGATAACATCCCTGCCTTAAAGCGTGGATGGTTTTTCACAGACCACGCTCTTACACTGCAGTGAAAAGGCGACAAGGGGGAACCTGCCGCCGCGTGAAGACACCTCGAATGTCATCGTTCGTGAATGAAGCCCCCCAAATGCGTCCCAGACGTTGCCTTCCAGGGAGGTTGCCAATGAAGTGACCTTATAGGGGGTTGGGGAGTACATAAGAAAATCCCTACGACGCCACAACAACACAACGATCAACCAGTTCTTGTCATAGTTCATACTGTATTGTGGTTTTCAGCCAATTCTGCTAGCGGATCTAGCTTCCAACTGGATTTGACAATCATTATACATCTGTGATGTTGCAGCCTTGAGGAGCAGCCTTGAGGAGCTCATCCAGTTCTATCATTTTCGACCTTAAAGCAGGCTAATACAGTACTAGAAGTAACTTCCTGATCACAGCGTCGTCCACAGTACAGTCTGTAAGATCCTATGTGATTGTTCGCCGTGCAACAGAAGTGTTTGAGATTTATCACATGCATGGAATAATTATCCATATTTGGGCAAAAGCGCAATCGAACGCAAGCTTAGAAGAGTACGCCTGAGACCACTCCTACTCGGGGAATCGGCGAGCCCGTAGCAGACTTGAGCCAGCACGTGCCGCCGTTGTAGTCGGTCCACGAGTACGCTAGGCAGCCACTCGTTCCCTTGCAATCCTCACAACAACTGTCACTGGATGCCCGCTGGGAACTGGCAATGTCATTTCCAAA